AACAATCATAAACATTAAAAAGTTAAAATGTTTGTAATAGTAGCCTAATAACATAACTGTTGTTAATATAATGTTTGGTTAGAGTAGTAAAATTATTTCCAAATATTTCAAAACTGTCACAACACACTTCAATAAATTCCCTCCTAGTATGTCAATATTGTATAAACTGGGATAATATATATATTTTAGATATAAAATAACTAGAGTAAAATATTTGATGTATGATGACATGTGTTGATAGATATGTTAATATGATTAATTATAACCTTACAAATACCTGTTATCAAAACAAAACATTTAATTTTAACACCTCATTGGGCTTTTAGGACCAACAAGTGTACCATGATATAATGGTATAACAGTTACTGGAACAATTATGCCAAGTGAGCCACTTATTTTTATTATTCTTCTGCATGAAGAACACATTGGTGCAAATAACAAATAATTTTTGATTTCCACAAGCAAATAGTGTCCATTTACTACTTGTTTTCATGTCACTGAACTCAGAGACATCTTATCATACATGTATTTAATATATGGACATTTATCCTGATACCATTCACAACGACCATATAATTCCTTTTCTAATGCTTATGATTCAGGTTAACAAAACTGCTTAAAATAATATTCGAGAAAAAAAAAACAGGTATAAGATAGCAAACTTCTAAAGGAAACACTGAAAACTCTCGATTACCTGCCTTGACACATAATCCCTTAGATCAAAACTATTATCATACAATATAATCTTACTTTCTTACATAATATGTTAATCTAATAATAAATTTGAAATAGTTCCAAAATCTGATATCATCACAAAGTTTCTCACACAGAAAATCTACTTCAGCTGTTTTCTCTGACACTCAATACTCAACTCTCTCTAATGTTGTCTCACGGGGTTTATCTATCTTTTATATAGGCGTATAGACTTCCTATCTCACATGGTGAAAGCCACATCAAAATATTTTGTTTAATTAATGAATATGATACTTATAGTCTGAGCAAAATAAAAAGTTTTTTTTTTTCTATGAGTTTATCTTCTAAGAGAATTGGAATAACGGCATCAAAACACTACTGTTAGAATGTCTCCGCATTGATAAGAAATATATTTTTTATAAGTTTACATTGAAATGAATCACACTTGTCTACTAGAAATTTCATCTAATTTCATCTAGTCCCAAATTTTGACAGAAAATTGTCCTCAGTAAGTAATTTTAAAACTTCAGCATAGTAGGGATGACATTAAAAGGATATGCTATTGCTGTCCTTTTACAACTATTTCAAGGTTGCATTTACAAAATATTAAGTCCACAATATTTGTAACTTTTTCAACTCCTTGCCCAACTGGACCATATATAATCAGATCTTGAAAATAAAAAAACATCAATTTTTTACCAAAAAACATCTTTGTGCATGATGATACAAAATTGGAGTATGGCAATAAACATTACGTTATAACTGACCTGTGTCAAACAGTATAAAATAAACAGTATAAAATAAACAAAACCTACCAAAATCTCAGCCATATTGGCCCTTCAACAAACTCCTTTGAAATGAACATGAAACAACAACACCAGATATACAGCCTCACTACTGGTAACATACATCATAAACTTGGAGTAATGTTATAGATCTATGGGATGTGAAATTTGAAACTTTCAACCTGTTTTATATATACTCAATTTAACTTCTGTATATAAGAGTAGACTATAGCTACCAGTGCAATTCTAGTTCTTCCAGTATACTCTTAAATTCTCTTACTACTCTTATATAATATAACATGCACAATATTCGAATAAGTTTACTACTACTTCTATACAAAGGCATAAGCAACAAATCCAGACAAACTATCAATGATGAAATCAAAATCACCATATTTTAGAATGCATAGTGAATATAACATATATAAACTTTCTATTTATATAAGAATTAAACCAGCAAATATCAAATAGATTCATACTATATCAATGAGCTTATAATGATACCCCTTACATTATACTATAGTACTTCAGCCTAATAAAATACTTTCTCACATTATCCAGTAGTCAATAAATGTGTATAGTACAAAGTTTAAAGTAAGCTGGTCTTGTGTCAATGTATTGTTTGATTTGGCACCATTTTAACAAACAGTTTCAGTCCACCTTCTGAAATCAATGTTCAATGAACACTTCATAATCCATCTATTTCCTTTCAATGTTTATTCAAATGAGTACAGAATTAGGCATCACATATAAATTTGCTACTGGTATGGAATGAAGGGGAAGTACTGAGATTCTCACTGCTTACAGAAGGTTTTGCTAATTGAAATCAGATGAAATGAAACGGGGCTTTTTGTTACTCCTATTTAGTAACATTATGTAGAGTACATTGTGCTTACTCCATTGTCTAGTGTCAAGGGATATTAGGAAATTCACAAAATAATGTATGTGGAATGGTATGGAGACTCTAAAAGATTAGGATGAATAAAAAAAGTCCTTACAGATAGAATTTATGTATAGTAAATGAAATGAGATGAATGGAGTTTTATGTACTACTTTTCTGCACCCTGTGGGCTATTGAAGACCGGCAACCTCATGCAGGGTGCCATGAGGGAAATTTTGCCAGGACAGCGGCATTAGCCTGCTCTTTTTCGATTTCCAACTGTTAAGGGATCTTTAACGTGCACAGCACATGGGCCCTCAGTTTATTGTCCCATCAGAATAACTAAACTTCCAAGCTTCTTAGCATCACTGACAGGGGGAAACCTGGAGAAAATGATGTATAGCAGACATCAAACATTCTTAGTATGTCGAGTTACAACTTGGATGGCTCCAATAAATATTACTAGTTTAAAGGGGAACTGTCAGCAATAATATGACTTTTTTTTCATCAAGTAAGTCAATCAAAAGTTTACCAATGATTCCAGGGCAGTAAGAAACCAAGAAGTAAGGCTTTATTATTACCACTATTGCATGAAAATTGACCATAAATAGTAGAAGTAAATTGATAGAGTGTTTATTAATCTAAAGATTATTGGAAATTATTGGAATAAATTTGTAACATTAATGTATGTTTTCCAAACATTGATTTGATAAAACAAATGAAAACATTAAAATTTTACATTGTCCTATGTCAGATTATACTTTTTTCGCTCTTAGAACTAAATAATTTTTGATTCATTTCACTGACCACTGTTTCAAATAATGTTACTCAACCTTTAACTTACAGTGGTTGTTTAAAGTTATGCATAAAATATGTAAAAGTTGAAAGGATTATTTAAAAAACATAGAAATCAAACAGTTAGGTAGATTATGTGCTAGAATAATCAATAATATAATGACACTCACCAGCGTAAGAGTATTCAGAACTATCATGGGAACTTGTCCTTGAATGTAATTCTTCACCAGAACTTGTATGTCCTTCACCAGTTATTCCCCTTGAATTACTCTCCTCTTGACGTAAATTATTAAAATACATTCTTCCTTCATCTGTATTACGGGGACCAGATGAGATAGTAGAATCATAATAGTTGTGTCGACTGTCATAATTACTTCTATTATTATCTGTATTTAGATTTCTCACTGATGAGGGTTTTACTTCACCTCTATAAAAGAACAAGAATGAAATTAAATGAAGTTCCTCTTATTAGAAAATAGTACTTGTAATTCATGTAATATACATTTATTCAAGTGTAATGATAAGACTGGCCACCAATCAAAACCTTAACAAAATAAAGAATTCTATATGATAATGAGAGTGAAAAATTTACATAATTTTGTAGCATTTTTATGTTTTCAGTTATGACATATCTTCACAAAGTCAAGCTATATAACGAATAGCCCATCATCGCCTTGACAGAAAGACTATCAACAATTTGGCTGTGCGTGTAATCAGGGGTTTTGATTAGCTGTATAGATGCATTTACAAACTTCTGTGATACAAGAAAGGTGGCTATTGCAGTCAATGTATTAGACACAGTTTGAAATAGCTTGACATTGTGTAGATGGTTATAACAAAACCTAATTGATATATTTATTTGGTATTGTTAATGACAGCTTTTGTTTGTTTCCACATTGAAAGAATTAATATAGTAACAAGAGTTTTCATTAATCTTGTATATGTAAAATAGTGGATGAAAGAATTCTGTTAATCTAGCCAAACACAAGCCAATCCTGCTGAAAATCTCTAGAAAAATACTTTTGGCACTATCTCAAAGATAAACATATGCTTTGTTTAATAATGATTCACAACATGCTATTAATATCCAGAACCTTCTCATGCATATCAAAATTCGTTTATTTTATAGGATCCATGCATCAGAGTTCAATCTAAATCATCATAATAAAATTGAAGTTTCAAATCAAAGGAACTAGATTGATATGAAATGTTAACAAGTTGACTGATTGATAGAAAATTGTACACATCATTAGTCATTTAGTATGTGTATGAACTTTTAGTACAAAAACAATTACACCTACAGGCAAATTATAAAACACCCATACAAATAACCATACAGATACACAGAAATTTTATAATAAGACATCAAAGAAAGTAAGAATTACACCACCACAAAGAATTAAACTGCATGACTTAAAGAGTATAAAGGTACCTAGAACGTCGAGGTAAGGTATTAGAGTTACGTTGATTTGTTCCATCACTTATATTATTATCATTAGAAAGTAGGCTAGTTGTATTTAAGGCCACTAAAGATGAATATTGGGCCTGGTTATTCAGGGTCATGAACCCCCTGTGAATGGAATTTATTATGTACATTAATAAATACATAGTGCAACAGAAATAACTTGCAGACAAAATCCACTTCTTTTGGATCTCAATTGCGCATGTCATTTGCCACCACATTTAACTTCAGGAAAAGCAAACAAAAAGAAACAAAGATTGAAAGATGATTTTTTCTCCCGTCTAAGAAACATTTAAGCAAAAGAAGAAAGACACAAAATGGAGAAGATTAGAGGTATTAATAGTACATACCTTGGTGTACCATCTTCAAGAGGAGATACAACTACAACTTTAACAGTAGATGATGTTCGTAAAATATCTACAGTTTGATCATGAGACAGTGAGGCTATTGAAACTTTACAGATTTCAATCAATCGACTTCCTTTCCTCAATCCTGCTTCCCATGCAAAACCATATGCTTCAACATCTGTTACAATGCCCTCTGTTTGAATATGAAAACCTAACTGACCCAGTCCATTTCTTTTTAATGTCATTTCTGACGTCTGCAATACAAACCAAAATATACAATAGATATTATGATCTGATATATATTGCAAAACTAGAAATCGTCTCTTTTCAGTTGCAAATTTATCTCACTTTTCCAAATACAAGTCTCTTAAAATTGGTTTTCAAAACTTTTTTATATGAAGGCTATAAGGTTTAGCCCAAGAAATCAGTCTGTAGTAAGTCTTATGAAATGAAATGAATGGAGTTTTACGTCCTACTTTTCTGCATCATGTGGGCTAATGAAGACGGGCAACGCCATGCAGGGTGCGATGAGGGAAATTTTTGCCAGGACAGCGGCATTAGCCTGCTCTTTTTCGATTTCCAACTGTCGAGGGATCTTTAACGTGCACAGCCTGTAGCACACGGGGCCTCGGTTTATTGTCTCATCCGAACGACTAGACGCTTTTTCCATGTCAGCCCCACTTACCTGCATCACTGACAGGGGGAAACCGGGTTGAAAAATCCGAAGGTATTATCTCGACCTATGCCAGGATTGAACCCTGGACCTTCAGGTTAGCGAGCAAGTGTCGAACTCACTGAGCCACCGCGGCTCCCTGTAGTAAGTCTTATGTTTGTCTTGTAGAAGTTAAAATGCTGTATGTAAGAATCTTCTCCAAGGCAACAACAATTTTGAACTTGTTTTAATGCTTTAAAGAATTGGTCTGGATTTTACTATAAACCCTTTCAATCCTAGGTATGAATATTTATTGTACATACCTCACAGCCCTGGGTAACAGCACCCAATCTACTCATTATTTCACTCATTTCATCTTGATCACCAGAACTCACTTTAAATACAATATATTCACCTTGTCCATAGAACAATCTTACACTGTAATATATAGTTATATACAGACTTAAAAAATATCTTATCATTATAATTTCTCATAATATTTTATTCCATGAATTGTGAATGCACAAATATTCTAATTTCATAAAAAAAAAACAAATTTACCAATCTCCTTCAACTTAGGATTAGGAAAACATTTTTATTTGGGGAACCTTCCACTCTTAAACCTTCAAAATTCTACTGGTGACTGCACTTCCATACATTTTCAAATCAAATCAAAGCAATCCCCTGGGAATAATATGTAGAATATTTTGATCTGATATGTCTACTATCTACATTAGATAAAGCAAGCGTACCTTTTAGTTTGTGTAGTCCATCCTATAATACTACTACAAGAAACAGTAAATATAACATCTTTACTAGAGTCTTCTATAACTACTATAGTATTACTGGCTATAGCTAAATAACTCTCTACTTGTGATGCTGTACCCACATCTTCTACCTGTATATTCCATACTACACAACCTTTAGCAAATAGATCTGGCACCACTTTCTGTTTAGTTCTTTCCTTTTTACGACCACTTCCTAATGCAAATTTACCTGTAAAACAATAAAATTAATCTCTTAAACACAATAGTTATCTCTAAAAACTTTGAGTTAATTTGCAAAATTGTTGATCAATTGGAAAACCTGCTTTTAATAAAAAAAAAAACCTTTAATGTTTTTAGATATGGAACTTTCCACGATTATTGCTATAACATAAATTTAATGTAAAAATGAATGATTAAAAAGGTTTGCTACCTACTTAATTTAGAACTGTTATCTAATGGTGTAGAACTAACATGATTGACAGCTAAATCTTTTAAATATTCTTGTCTTGTTCTTGTGGCCATGGCTCGGAACTTCTCAGATCTGTGAGCTGCATTTTCTGCATTGATCACTACAAAAATTAAACACTTTATATAACATTCTTATTGTCATCATTAGTGAAAAAAAAAAAATGATCTAGTTTCAATTTCAAACAAGAAGGGAGTGTAAATGTTTCAAAGGCTGAGAGTTTTAATTGATATCTGTTGATACAATAACTCAGAAAACTAACAATAGAAGATTATATTCTCACTTACATTTGGCAAGTAGAAAATCAACAAATTCAGGTGATTTAGTAAAAGGTTTTTCTGGTATTGGTGGACCAAATGGTGGAACATCCTTCGATCTAGTTACTGACATACTGAAAGTAGAGATCAACATAGCCACTATATCATGTGTTTATCATATCAAACTAGGCACTAAACAATAACAACAAACATATAGATATGTCTCACATCACAAAGATGATCAAATATCTTACCATACAAACAAGAAATAGGAAAATGTGCATCAAATTTCCAATCACATTTTTCTCATTTATCTTTGAGTGATTAAACAGAAACAAACAAGAACATGCAGAATAAATCCATGAGCTCTAAGCCTATATATTCAAGTAATATTTCCAATCCTTCAGGCTCAGATGAGATTTGGATTATCTTATAAAGAAATGTTCCATATTTTTATATTGGAATTATTCATGGATGTACATCATTTCATTGTGCAGAACAAATATTGCATAACCTATATTAAGCTAGTTTATAATAAAGACATCACTAGCTAACATTTAAGCCAGAGTACAGTTTGAAAATTCCATATATATATCATTAAATCTATTTTTCCTCTGTTTATATCAAACCAATATCACTATAAGTTGTAGTATTGGTACAATATTTACCTGTAGAGAACACCCTCAGTATTAGGGTTGGTAACACGAATAATAATAAATACATGTTGAAACTGAGAACGAACTGTTTTAGGAGTAAATGGTAGAGAACCGGGTTCTTGAAATATTATAGTTACAATATCATTACCAATATGACGTTTTCTAAATAACTGAAAATATAAAATGAATAACTTAACAGACCTAATAATTATGAAAAAATATTTCTACTGATATAAAAAAATAAAAACCTGAATATGAAAACTTATTATATTTTGATATACATTCTGAATAGAGAAAACTGCCATTGTTCCAAGCATGATGGGCACAATTTTTGTATATTTATTTTGTTTTAAATCCTCCATATAAAAGATAAAAAAAGAAAGTACCTGTTGAATATTATTAGATGTAAAAGGTAACATAGTAGAGATATGGAACATAATTTCACTATTATCAAATGTTGTATAGAAGGAATTTGTACCAGTTGAATCAGCTAAAAAACACAGAAAATTATGTTTAATTAAAAAATATCACTAAAGAATAAAAACAGGGTCACATCCATAAAACTGAACATTTTAGAGAGAAGTCAATTTCAATTTTGAATATTACACATATAAATGAAAATATTATGGCCCGTATGCACCATTAAAATAAGCCTAATTTAATTCTATTCTGCCCGAATAACATTAACTTTTAATTTAATTCTATATTTTGTATGCACCACATAGATTTACCTTAAATGTATTTAAAAATTGGCTAATTTAATGCTAAACTTAAAGTTGGTCGAGACCTGTTTTAACTTTTAATTCTATTTGTAAATCAGTAGAAATTCCTTTTGTGGCTCTTCGATGTTTCCAAATGGTCGATTATTACGACGAACTTGGTGAAATCAACCGTGTTATTCCCATCAACAGACATGTCAAGGATCGCCTGGACCCCTTCACATGGTTTTCGGAGGAGGAATTTAAAGCAAGTTTTAGATTAAATAAGCAATCGGTGTTGAATATCATTAATAGTTTGCAAAAATGAAACATGACATGGATTCCATATCAAATTTATTAGGACGTTCATTTGCTCCTTCGAAGAATAGAAAGAATTAAAGATATCGTTTGATCTTACTCTTGTTGATAATTGTCATAAAAGCTGTCACCAGATGAGAGTCTAGAGAGTTTCAGACTACAAGACATCCACACTACCTTAAGCAGTGATTAAAATGTTAAATAAGAAATATGTCTTAGTGACCAATCTTTAGACTCTTTTGTCATATATAGTTTGTGTATAGTTTGTGGTTCGAATGGAAAATAGAATTTCAATTACAGTACAGATACAAAAAATAGAATTATCTTTAAATACATTTATGGTTTAATATAATTCTATTCTTCTTCATTTGATTTTATATGGTGCATACGGGCCAATATTTCAAAACCTTTTTACAATACTAATCATAAAATGCATTCTCAAATACCTTAACAATAAACTTACTTTTACAATCCAAACCACCTCTATATTTATCAAAACCTTTTAATCTTATCTTCTGACCAATTAAATTTAAAAACTCTTCAAATGCTGGACTACCATGTTCTGAAAATTAATAATGACTGTATTATACAATTTAATTTACAAACAGATTTTCACACTCTTTTTTAAAATTATTTTCAAATAAATCTTTCGTTAATTAAACCATAATTAGATTTCTTCTGATGAAGCTCAAGAAAGGAATACATATAATAACTGATGCATACCATTATTATACATTTCTTCTTCTGTACACTGGCCCTTCTTACAGTACATGATACCTATTTTATATGTTGTACTTAACTGAAATATTCAAATATTCATATTCAATACTATTTACCTATCTAATTTAGAAAGGTTTAAAATAAAAGCATCTATATATATACATAAATATTTCTATTCTAGGCATCAGTAAGTGACAAATTTGAGAGAATAGGCCCATTTCAAATCAAATTTGCTGAAACAAGCCTGTTGCAGAATAAAATTTCCCTGACATAATGGTGAGAATAACACAAAGAATTATCTAAAATTTTAATTATTACTAACAAATTGCATTTCTTCTTAATACCTTGTTCTTTAAGGTATAAAGTGATGTAACAGTCTTACCCCTTGTTCATCAAGTTTTAATAACTGTTCACTTGTTTTGGCACCAGGTGTAGCTTGGCGTAAACATGATAACTGAACTTCTGGTAAAACATATTCTAAAACTTCTTTCATAGGTACACCTCTAGAACTACTCAATCTACTGGAGGAGGGTATAGCATCTTCTAATACAGCACCACGTAATGTTGTTAACTACAAAATATTTCATTGAAAATATAATTATTATTATATAATAATTCATATTACAAGTATATATTGAGTAACTGCCATTCCATTTCTGTTGGTAAACAAACTTGCCATTCATGATCTTACAAAATACATCTTGAATCAGTCATTAATTTAACAGCAGGCAAAATTTATGTTAACCAGTCAATGTTTAACAATGAATATATCCAAGAATTCCTCCCATGTTTTAGGTAAATCTTATATGCAACATATCTTTTGATTGGTTGAATGTCTTATTGACCTAGAACATGTGTTGAATAATCATTAATAATCAGATCATTAATGCCATGTGGAGCCATCCAAAGAAAAAGATCTGTATTTCCTAACCATTTCCTAAAAATGGTGTTTGTTTCCAATTTTCCCCAAATTTGCAAAACTATTATACTGTCAATAAAATTGGAATGCAACAGGTAACAAATGCTAGAGCAGGAGGGGAAACTTATATTATATAAAGAGAGGCATAAACTTCAAATCATACATCATTCATAAATCTAAGACCATTCATAAATCTAAGATTTTCATTTCAGATAAAGATCTTTGATCTATTAATTCAAAACTTGATGAGTTTGTTTACATAGTGAATAAAATACTTTGCCAAAACTGATTCCAAGATTGTGCCAACACCCACCCATATTGTGATAATTTGTAGTGCTGTTGATATTTGAGTAGGATGTTGGTTTGTTAATGTGTGCTTGCTATATAATATAAACATCTGTCACTAGGTAAAGATAACAAGGTAACTAGTTAACACTACAAGTTACTCTTGTATGGTATTTGACCTGGTGTAAGATACTTTGCATGTAGCATGCAGAATATTATGATATAGGGAATCAGGTGATCTCTGACAGTGATTTAATGAAATACACCCAGAAGAAACACACCTTGTTTTTCTTTTTTTTTTAGCTGATTTTAGGTTGTAAGACATTGTATAATATGCTGATTTCAGCAGTTTGAAGTATTTTCTTGTTGTACACATCTTGATGTAAATTAACAATAAATACAAAGAACTATAATTTGCTAATCTAATCACAGTGGTTTCATTTAATAAAATTCATTCAGATCTATAGTATTATTAACAACTCAAATAAAACAACAAGCCTCAGGTGTATAAGATAATAATAATTACCGTATATACCAGTCTAGCTATATATTATATATTGATTTAATCAATATAAGTCTGTAATTAATATAATTATGTTTACCTCACTTGTTCTACAAATAATACGGTAATGATACTGTCCATAATCAGCTTTACCCAGATTATTGGCTCTTTCATCAGCATCTAGTTTCTCTCTCCTTATACTCACAGCTATTGGTCCCAAATTATCATCACAACCAAAAAAATTCTGATGATCTGAAACAGATATAATATCATTATAATAATGTTACATGAGGTAAAATAAGTGTGGCTATTACACTTCTAAACTACATAGTTGCAAAAATATAAAACAATCAAATTTTCAAAGTTATACTGATTAAGTAATCAAATATAGATCTTACATCAGTAGAGTTAATAACTTGAAGACTAAAGGAGCTTTTGGTTATTTCATTGGTATTGTTTGTGGGATAAAAAAAAAATACCCAACTTACCATAGCCATAGAAATAATGTCTATAATAACTACATCCATGATCAACATATTCTATCACATGACCTCGATGAGAAACAAGGGGAGGTAATATTTGTCCTGCCGGAGAAGGTGTAGAGTCTAATATTGCTACACCACAACAAGTGGGAGGTCTATGATAATCACTGTTATGAGATTGATCCAATGAATCATTACTACCCTGATTTCTACGAGTATTAGTTTGTGTAAATCCTATCACACGTTCCTCTTCACCACCGATTTCGTTTCGAAAAAATGGACAACTTAGCACCATACAATTACTTTTACGATCTCCGTCATCGGTTCCTGCGATTATATCAGGATCATCTTTATCACCAACAATACTATTACGATTCACTGACGCTGCAGACGCACCTGTTGAAGTATTTTTCACAATTCCAGAATAATTTTTAGTTTTGATCACTTCCGCAATATTAACACCAACACTTTGACAATCAAAATGCACAAATGACTTTTTACGATATCGTTCCTCTGAGCGATTGTCTTCGGGACTTTTTTCTTCTGTTTTTGAACTGGTTTCACCCTCTTGTTTATTGCCACGTAATTTTTTCAATATTCCCGCACTAGCCTCACCAGTTATAGATTTAGCACGAAGTTTTCTATCTTTGTGTTTTGACTTAGATTTTGATTTTGGACTATCATTGATGTCATTTTCTTTATCAAATGAAGCTGAGCCATTTGATAATGCCATATTGTTACTTGTCTTTTTGAGGTTTCCCTGAAGTAATTCCTGCAGTTTTGGTGGTGCGGGACTACGCTGATCTGGGTTTTCATTTTGATAATCTTTCAACATGGCAAAAAAATCACCATTGTTTGCATTGTTTCCTAGTAAATCTAGCGAGGAAGTACTACCATATTCTCGACGCATTGATAAATTGGTAGGAGAAGGTAAATCAGATTGATCAATATGATCTAAACTATCCATTTCAATACTATTACTTCGATATAAATTACGACTAATTTTATTATTCCTTGCCATTTTAACTTGATCTGTTACAGATGGGGGAGCTTTCATGGCACTTCGTGTTTCAGTAACTGGTCTGTGGGGAAGTGGTCTATTTGCATGTTGAGATGGAAACATTCTGGTTCTGTTTCTTCCAGTGCCTATTCTTTCATTCATTGAACTACGCATATCAATTATTCCAGCTTTCATCTTGGCCCGGTAGAAACTACTTGATGAAGCTGGGGCTAGTCCAGAATGCAATGCCTCTTCCGTTGACCCATATGCACTTTTATCGTAAAAACGATTGCCATTTGAATTATACATATCTGATGTGTTGCCCTGACCAGGCTTCGCTTGAACTTGATTATGGTAATATTCTGCTGCCTGTTCGGCACGTTGACGTATTTTATCCAGCTCGGAATGCTTTTTATAACCCTGACCATCACTTGCCATTATCATTCATATTACCAAATAAATTAAAATGACATAAAAACCTTGCATTGATATACACAATAATTACTTTCTTATCACAGTGAAGAACTAGAGCACAGAATTATATAATTATATCTATATTTTAGTCAACACACTAAATCCAATACCTTTCTAGGTCATTTCATATTTATTATTCATATCAATATAATAACCTTAATAATAGATTTGAATCACTAAAACACGTCATATAACGTCATATAAAATAGAATCTATTGTCTAAAATATTCCAGCCCATCCTCTTCACAACTTTTCTCATATTAAGTGATTTCTCCTTTAAAATGCATCCTGACTTATTGGTGTAATGAGTCATGTAGTAGTTATTGGGCAGTATAAATTGTTGGCAAGCTGTTAACTGTTGAAGAATTCTGAAAAGATAATAAAACACTGATTATATAGTGGTATGGTTTTAAACTAGATCATAAAAAAGAAAACCTGAGGTAGAATATTAAAAGAGCAATTTATCTTATAATTACTAGTTGTTACAATAAGTCTGGCTTCTTTTAATGGAGGGTAAACATACACAAACAAAACTTCAGTAAGAAAAGATATAAAATTCAGTGTAGGAAGGTAATACTAGTGTCTGACATTCTCTACATAATATAGAACACATTTACCTTATACCTTCTTTAAATCAATATTCTAATTTCAATAGATTAATTTTTAATAGATAACTGACATGACAAACAATGTCACTACTACACTACTACAGTGACTACTAACTACTACCATGACAGTACTAAAACAAGTAAGATATGAAGTAAATATAACTAAAAATATATCCTATAGATTTCCAGGTATGAATCCTATATATCAAATCCATTGTTAAATATCAAATTCCTTTATAATGAATCAATAGGTATAAATATATCTTCAACTGTAACTTCACTTTTATTTAACTGTACAGGTAGGTATCATTATATACATTTAAGAGGTGTGTAACGGGAAAACAAACTTACAAACTATAAAATCAAGAATGAGCCTCGGCTCTCCCTTCATAACCAAATTCAAGATTTTCATACCCAATAAAGCCACACCAACATTTTGTTTTACAGTTCTCCACTGAAAAACTGATATTGTGGTTTAGCCTTTCCACATGTAATATGACAATCTCATCTAGTTTGGTTTAACCTCACATCTAGTTTGGTTTAACCACAGGAAAATAAAAGGACATTTATACAATCTATTCTAGTAAAGGAGTAAATATAGAAACATGTTTTAAATAAATATACTACATTGAAAGTAGTTTTTTTATCAGGTAAAAGTTTACTGGAGTCTAGAAATAACTTCTATTTAACTTATCTAATTGGTAGCTTGGTATATAAAATACTTCATATTTATCTTGGTATGTTTTTCATTTTCATGCCACAACATTACACAATTATTGAGCTCATTGATTCAATTTTCTTTACTTTAAGTGAACTTCCTGCCAATTTTCAGTAGGTAAGCTTATATATTTAGACTACTACTGTCTCTGTTGTTTCTTAACAAGAATAAGTACTTTATCTCGGTGCTAAATGTCTACCTTTGAAACATGTGTCCAGTTAGGTATAGAGACTTCAGATTTTTTTTTACTCTTATACAGGATGAAATAAGATAAAATCGGCATTTTTTGAAAACAATTTTTATAAAGTAAGCTAAAGTAAGAGAAATACATTTATGATGATTGAAAACGATGCTGCCTTCAACAGATGTCAAAATGTTCTAATAAGTCTATTAATCATAAAATCATAGAATAATAAATCCAATACCTATCTCTTCTCTTCTCTCTACCTTTCTCACGGTAATACTATTACAATTTGGCAACCATATCTTACAGTATAAACAGATAAAATATACATCTTGTAGGTAGATAAAATATTAGAAAAACCAACCTACATAACATACCTCCTCACCTTGAAGTCATCATTCAAAATGGATGACAGAGCTACTAGAAATAGATTTTATTTTTATCAATTTGACAATACCAGACCTAAAATTAACTGATTCTAGGCTGACAAAATGCAAAATAGCTGTGTAACTCTTTTCAAAATAGAAATGACATCATTTAGTCTACTGTTTGAAAAGCATTTGAATTGCATTTAAAATGATATAATCTTTCATAAGGATTTTCCCTTTTTATCACTAAATATGTATTTGTTTTCTGCACAGCTTTTTTTTTTTTCTCTTCCAGTCGTCTGAGCTGTAGATGGCATAGGGATGTTGAAGCAAAAATTTTAGACTGAACAACAAATACACATGTAATAGTTCTCAGCAGCATTTGACTCATTGGTCACAAGATAATTTGGTAATAAAAGTTGATTAAAACCACACATAGCTTCAGAATACCTACTGAACCTAACTATATCTTAATTTTATTCTATTCTACACAACCAGATCTTCAAAGTGACTTCTATTCATGAAACAAGGTATGCAAAAACCACAAAATAAATATTTATTAGTTAAATTTAGAGATGACAAGACATGTCAATGTTAAAAAGGAAGAAAAATTCCAAGAATGTATCTTCAAATAAGATAGCTTGCTACACTGCCATTAAAAAACATGTTTATATTTTCATGTTTACAGTAGAAAAGAGTGGTCTTTATCTTAACTGATGACAACCACCAAAGATATTGGAAAAAATGGAATCTGAGATTACTCAATTGAAACATAAAAGTATCTTTAATTCTTAAGTAACTTATCTTTTCGTCCTCAGTTTTATGCAGGATATTCTTTCATTCTTCAACAACAATGGGATAAATCAAAACATTCAAGGTTAAAACTACAAGCAATTTGAGAACTTCATCAAAATATTATCTAGGAGATGTCTTACTTATACTTATCCCAGAAAAAGATTATGCTTGCTAATTAGACAACAAGGGAAAACCTTATCCCAGCTTTCATAGCAAATAAACTTACAGTGGACATCATCAACCAAAGTAACAGATCTAAATTGTCATTAGCTGAATCCTCTAGGACGGCCCTGGATTGGCCGTGGATATTCGCCACCCGGGTGGCGAATAGTCCACGTCCATTCATTTGACTATTCGCCATCCGAGTGGCAGAAAAAATCTCTAAAAATTCATGAAATGTCAGCCTTTTTGATATAATTGTTTCTTTCAGTGACATATATGTCGACTCTGAGTAATTTGTAATGGATTTTGTCAGATTCAGACAAGATCGTGTTAATATAAATTGAATTTCTTGCAATGAAACGAAAGTAGAAATTCCGCCATTTTGTTTACACCAAATTAGCATACATCTCAAATGGTCCTGATAGTGTTGCTATGAAATTTAGCATCATACGTTTGTATAAGAAATCCGTAGAAAAAAAAAATGAAATAAAATAAAGTTTTACGTCCTATTTCTGCACCTGTATGGGCTACTGAGGATGGGCAAACGCCATGCAGTGTGCAATGAGTGAAATTTTGTCAGGACAGCGACATTAGCCTACTCTTATTTTCGATTTCCAACTGTCGGGGGATCTATACGTAAGTAAAAAAAAGGTTGAAGATGTGTAAATGGTAAAAAAAAAGACAAAGCAGGCGCGTGTCCAAATTGTGTCACATTTATCCTAGACGTATTTTCCATCCCAAACATTGACAAGGGGAAATCGAGTTGAAAAATCCAAAGAATATCAATCCATGGTTGGAGCCATCGCGAATGTGTAAGTAATGTATGTGGGTGGTAAATACACTGCATTGGGGTGGGTGGAAATATGTATTTGAAGTAATAAGGTTTAAGGTATAATAAGGCGTACGATAATCCACAATACTGACGAGTGGTAAGTTATGTGTATGGGTGGTAATAAGGCGTACGATAATAAACCATACCGACGGGTGGTAAGTAATGTGTAAGGGTGGTAATAAGGCGTACGATAATACACAATACTGACGGGTGGTAAGTAATGTGAACGGGTGGTAATAAGGCGTACGGTAATACACAATACTGACAGGTGGTAAGTAATTTGTAAAGGTGGTAATAAGGCGTACGGTAATACACAATACTGACGGGTGGTAAGTAATGTGTAAGGGTGGTAATAAGGCGTACGATAATAAACCATACTGACAGGTGGTAAGTAAATGTGCAAGGGTGGTAATAAGGCGTACGATAAAAAACCATACTGACGGGTGGTAAGTAATGTATACGGGTGATAATAAGGCGTACAGTAATACACAATATTAACGGGTGGTAAGTAATGTGTAAGGGTGGTAAACAAGAATTGGGGATGGTAAACAAGAGCTGAAGGAAGTAAGTTCTTGTTAACCACCAACAATTCCTGTTTACCACCCCAGCTCTTGTTTACCATCCAAAATACTTGTTCTTGTTAACCACTCACAGTTCTTGTTCCTGTTAACCACCCACAATTCTTATTTACCACCCTAAACTCTTGTCCACCATAAGCTCTTGTTCACTAGTTGTTGTTCACTACCCTCGGTTCTTGTTTAACATACCTAGCTCCTGTTCACCACCCTGGGTTCTTGGTTACCACCCTCAGCTCTTGTTCACCACCCTACCTGTTGTTCACCGCCATCATTTCTTGTATACCACCTTTAGTTTGTGTTTACCACCCAACTCTTTGTTACCACCCTAGTTGTTTTTCATTAACCTAGCTGTTGTTTACCACCCTCAATACTTGTTTACCACTCTCAGCTCTTGTTTCATTAACCTAGCTGTTGTTTACCACCCTCGATACTTGTTTACCACCCTCAACACTTGTTTACCACTCATAATTCTTGTTTACCACACTCAGCTCTTGTTTCATTAACATAGCTGTTGTTCACCACCCCCAGGTCTTGTTCACCACCCACAATACTTGTGTAACACCGACAATTTGTGTTTGTCACCCTAAGCTCTTGTTCACCTCTTAGTTGTTGTTGTTCACCATCCCCAGCTCTTGTTTACCACCCTCAGCTATTGTTCACCACCCTGGGTTATTTTTACCACCCTAGCTGTTGTTTACCACCCATAGGTCTAGTTTAACAGCCACAATTCTTGTTTACCAACCTACTCTTGTTTACCACCCTCAGCTCTTGTTCGCTACCCTCGGTTTTTGTTTACCACCAGCAGGTCTAGTTTGCCACCCTCCGTTCCGGTTTACCACCCGCAGATCTTGTTTACCACTTCCAGCTCTTGTTCACCACCCTCAGCTATTGTTTACCACCCCAATACTTGTTTACCACTCACAATTCTTGTTTGCCAACTTCAACTTTTGTTAACCACCTTAAGCTCTTCTTCACCAGCCAAAGCTCTTGTTGTTGTTAACCACTCTCGAATTTTGTTAACCACTCTTGGCTCTCTTTTACCACCCTAGATGTTATTCATTAACCCTGCTCCCGTTTACTACCCAAAAATCTTATTTACTGTCCTCAGCTCTTGTTTACCACCCTCGGTCTTTCTTTACCACTCGTAGGTCTAGTTTACCACCCTCCGTTCCTGTTCACCACCCGCAGTTCTTGTTTACCACTTCCAGCTCCTGTTCACCACCCTCACATATTGTTTACCCCTGACGATTCTTGTGTACCACCGACAATTCTTGTTAACCACCCTAAAGTCTTTTTTACCACCCTCAGCTTTTGCTCCAGCTTTCTTAAACTAATAGGGAATGTCGGGAATTCGCGTTTTTGGGAATCCGATTCTAAAAATCTTCAAAGGGTGGGATCTCCTACACACTATATAAAAAATCCTTCAATCCGCCGGAAAATGTCGAGAGGTGACATAAATATCGAGACTAAATTTCATAGAAGTGATTCAAAAAAGTGGTGGCCAAATTGACTTAACACCAGTTGACTATAAAAAGCCATCCAATGGGACAGCGATTATCAATTATAAGTAGGTGTTATTTTTGTACATTTTCTTGAAAGGAATTGCAAATAAGCGTTTCTAATGAACATAAAAAAAAACATTATAATGCATGTAACGCTATAGCCTTAACAGCTAATAATGTCAGTCTTCAGAGAAATTAAAGTTTTAAATACGGGTGGCAAAAAAAAATGAGGGTGGCGAATAAATGTTTGCCACCCGGGTGGCGAATATCCTCGGCCGGACTGGATTAGTAACTTTCTTCTTCATTTTACATTTCAATTAACAACATAGAAGACCATAAAATACTTTCACATACCAGTTAGCTATCAGAGACTAATCCCAATATCCTAGTTAATCTTCTGGAATTGCTTTCCAAGAATTGTATCGGTCTCACATCCTGATCCCTTCAAAATGGAAATAAATATATGAACGACATAAAAACAAGAACTCTTCACAGTAGAGGTGAAAAAGTAATCTGATAAATTCTATTTGACACTCCGCTGACATCAATTAATATAGCATAGTCACAATTGGCCAGTTTGACCACAGGTCAGCCACAACCACTACTTGGCAATTTGTATTATAAATAACCCTCAAGGCTTTGTCCTGTGTTAAATTGTCATGTAAACACTGGCTAGAGGCAGATGAAACTCCACACTATCTCTTAATGTGTTATATTTATACAATACACTTCAACTCATGTTTTCTAGGTGGTAAGGCAACGTAAATTAAGGTCATACAGATTAACACAACCCTCATTTCTCTCTTTAAATTAATCTGTCAAAATAACCAACAAAACAACAAGAAAACACCTAGAGAAGAGTAAGAATAAGGACAAGTATGAACTTGATGTAAGATGACTAAACCCCTACTTGAAATGACAATTATATATGAGAAGGATTAGCCTCAGCTGTGACTTCATCATAGTTTATAACGAAAGTCTTTGATGACCTACTAATGAATAAATGTCTACAATCACACATCAATTAATAATTAATAACTTTGACTATGTTTTTCAAGTTCCATTTCAATGTGTCTACAATTATTTGCCAATATTTTCCAATAAATAAAATCAATCAAAAGGTTAAAGTAATTGAAAGATACTTCTATTATGTTGCCATGGAAATCAATAGATCTACAATTTGTATTTTTCTGATATTTAACATTAAAGCATATATACTAAACTAAATTATCTCATAGAATTCATTGAAGGTTTGCCATGATAAGTCTGATTAAAATGGTGCTTCTTTGCATTTTTATTTAGTGGGCGACTCCATTTGCCATCCATGATCTAACAAATTGTTATGGATGTCATGTTGTGGGTCATTTCTTATTCAACCAATCCAATGCTCTGTTCAATAAAAAGATTTCAACTAGGATTCTGGGAAATTCATTAGCCCAGTTGGCCGGTACCATTTACATTGTACTGTTTTCACTGGGCCAGAACGATGAGTCATCAAGTATACATCTGCTCTCCAGTCAGTGGAGGCGAAAAAAACTATTGTAATTCTATTGATTAAATAAATAATGATTTGTAATTTTATGTAAACATTCTACAAATCAGGATTTATGAAAGAATTATGTAAGATCATGGATGGCAAGTACAAGTAACAAACAGAAAAATCACGAACCAAAACATCCAGAATTGAATTTTAATCATATTGTGTCCCGATTATTAAGAAATTATATTACTGAGTTTAATGTTGACACTTTATAAAAATGATATAGAGTCCACAACTATTGTAATGGCCATGGAGGTATCTCTAATCTTAAATTTCCAACTCATTATATCACAAATTCCTATCTCTTACATTAAAGAACGATTAACATTAAATATCTGTGAATGTTTATAAAAAGAAAATCAGTTATGATCATCTGTAAAAATAGACTGGCGCCAACGCAACATGATATAAAACAACAAAGCTTCATTATTTAAGAATTATATATCTTCATACCCATATGGGAATTCCTACATGCTGTCAAATGTAATAGTTTTCATCAGCTGTAAGTATATAATGTATTTCTACCTAGGAAATTTAATGTTATTCATGGGATTTTATTAAATGACAAATTCTGTACCTGCTTAACAAAAATTCTACAAGCTAAACACACTGCTTACATTTTTCAAAATATATTCTACATTAGTTAGTATGTATATTCAGATATTGAAAATGTCACTTGTTTTCAAAATCTAGGGTTTTAAAAACAGGACCATGATGATAAAAGAAAGCTATAATTATTGATATATGTCATTATGGATTAAAACATGTTGTAGTCATCAATAACCTGCCTTACCCTCTCCCTTTAAACACTTCAACTATTTCCTACTTTCCTTTCAACAAAACAAAGTTCAATCTACAACAGATGGTGAAATATATCAGAGACATTCCACATCAGATAAAAAAAAGAAGAGCTGCAAATTTCTTTTGAATAAAACACAACAGATCACATTTTTGACATGGGCCAGACTGGGGTATCTTTTTATCATATTTAGCTAACTTGTGCAGTCTAATCTACGTATAACTGGTTGAACAAAAGGTTATTGTTCTGATTCTGACTAACCAAAAGGTTACGTTACTGTTCTGATTCTGACTAACCAAAAGGTTACGTTACTGTTCTGATTCTGACTGACCAATGGGCAAATGGTCTGATTCTTACAAACAGGCTACTGTCCTTATACCTTGGAGTAATGACTGACTGGAGGAACATCGCCTATAGAAAACTAATCTGACAACTCCATGTCAGTAGTAGCCATGATTGTAGCCGAGATGCGCCTTCGAAACATACCCTTTATCTTTAAACAACACGCATGCGCAGTTGGAAGCAATTTGGCAGCTTCCAAGAAAAACAGATTTTCTTGATTCTTTTTTTAAATCGATTGAAAATTAAGATTTTGACAATGAGTTGTTGGATTTGATATTTTAGGATGTATGTGCACTCAAACATCAATTAATGTTAGTGCCCGAGATCACCTGAATAGATGATAACCATAATTCCAAAGATGAAAGTTCAATGAAAACGAAACATTTTCAATGAACCGCGCAGACCTTTGCGGACCGAAGTTATTTGAAATCAAATGTTAACTTTTTATGGAGGAAAAAGTCTTGCAAAATGATGCCATAACTATTAAATTAGATCTTGATCTTCCAGACAAATAGCCCCGCATATACAGTAAACTTCCTCGATGTCAAAATCATCATCAAAGTTCTCAAAATCAACGGGATCTTGAAATCGCTATCGGTTAGCCCAAGCTGATCTATTTGTTGTGACAACAACTATTTGTACTAGGCCTAAATCACGTAACACTCTAAAAGAAGGGCCGATTCATGTGACGTGTTGATTGACAGCGGCACTGATCGGTAGCATTACGAGGCGAGGCGATGTTCCTCCAGTCAGTCATTACTCCAAGCTGATACTAATATTGTATAACCAACCATTAAATAACCAGATGGTTCCCAGTTTGATGCTGTAAATCCCACTGATATTTGGTCTAATGCCCCTGTTGGTTTTTTTTGATGTGCAAAAACAGGGTAGGATGAATCAGACCATCTGATGCTGAATATCCTTAGAATGTTTAACCAGAATGTATGTAGTCAGGTTAAGTAAGGCTAGTAAAAAGTTTTTATTAGATGTAGTCTTACTAATCAGCTGACAGACTACTGATCAGTCTGGTCTGGTGTGATGATGCTGACTATCACTTTTGGCATGAATTTGATTGTTAACAAATTTCTAGATATATAAACTAAATGATGAATAGACAATTAATATATAAATATCATAAAATAAGAATATAAATATCATGCTAACAATATATAGTTATTGGTTCATAAATCATCATTATTCATTCCAACTGGACATAAACACTGCCTTTATGATCATATATAGAATAAACAGTAAAAGGTAGTAAGTCATAAACACTTGTTATAACAATAGACTCTTTATTCATTTACTGGTCAATAATAGACGTAAGTCCAAAATTATAAATCCAATATAAGTTTTCTATTAATTTCAACACCTTAGTACCTATGAACACCTACTAAATTGCTAGTTTGAAAGATTAACCTATCCTATGGCTCTGACAATTTAACAAACACAATTCAAACCGAAGTTGAGCTATTTATTTCTATATGTACTTTTCCCCTGGAATTTGTGGGTCTTTTAGGATAGCCTTTTGAGGAAAAAAAAATAGTATGAAAGGTTTTAAAGGTATGCAATCTGAAACAAAAAATGTGCATTTCTTTCTGACCATCTACCAAGCAACTAGCCATCAAAATATTCTGTCTGAGTCAGTGAAAGCTGTCATGCTTTCTTAGACTTTAAACCCATGATTGTTAACCCTTCCATAAAATTCCAATATATAGTTCCAACTATTTTATTCCCTTAACTATCATATAACCAAAATCATCAAATGAGCCAAATCACAATATCACTATATTTTCAACATTGAATTTCAATATCCA